GTCCACTTTGAAACGCGCCCAGATGCTTCTGCACTACGGAGTACCAACCAAAGGGGGTGGTCCGTTAGTACCCCGATGGTATGCCCCTGAAAGTAATGCATCAGCTTTCTCGCTCCCATGACAAGGGCCATAATGAGTTTTTCCAACGAAAGGTAGCGTGTTTCGGTGTCAACCATTGCCTTGCTTACATAATACACTGGTCGCTGCTCCTTTAGCTCTTCTTTTATCAGTACGACACTGATAACACAGTCGAAAACTGCCAGATACAAAATGAGCGGGTCGCTTGCCGAAGGTGTTGTCAAGAGTGGAACTGATCGGAGGTAGGTCTTGAGGCCGTTAAAAGCAGCTTCACACTCGGTGGACCATTCAAAAGCCTTGCCCTGTCGTAGTGTATGAAAGAATTGTCGGCAGCGATTTGTAGACCGACTGATGAACCTGTTGAGTGCGGCGGCCATCCCCATCAACTTTTGAACCTCTTTCACTGAACGAGGGGAGTCGAGCTCCAAGATTGCTCTAATTTGCCTTGGGTTGACTTCGATTCCTCGGTAGTTGACAATGTAACCCAAGAATTTGCCAGAGCCAATCACAAACACACATTTGGAAGCGTTCAGCTTCATTTTGTATTTGTGTAAAATGCCGAATGTCTCTTCCAGATCGCCTAGATGAGTTTGCTCTTTTTTGGACTTGACCACCATATCGTCAATGTACACTTCCATAGTGTGGCCGAGTTGCTCATTGAACATGGCAGTGACCAGTCTTTGGTAAGTTGCCCCTACATTCTTCAGCCCAAAATGCATAACCTTATAGCAATAGGTTCCTCTTAGGGTGAGGAATGCAGTTTTGTCTTGGTCCTCCGGATGCATGGCAATTTGATGGTAGCCTCTATAAGCATCGAGGAAGCTCATGCGCTGATGGCGTGCCGTTGCATCTACAAGTTGGTCTATTCTGGAGAGACGAAAACAATCCTTGGGGCAGGCTTTGTTTAGGTCCGTGAAATCAATGCACACTCGCCAAGTCCCATTTTTCTTCTTCACAACCACAGTATTAGAGAGCCATGTAGGGTAGGTCACTTCCCTGATTGCCCCAGTGTCAAGCAACCAATCAACCTCTTCAACAACGGCGACAGTGTGCTCTGCGGCTGACCGCCGACTTTTTTGAATGATCGGCTTGCATTTAGGGTCAACATTTAAACAGTGCTGCGAAACAGATGGATCTACACCCGGCATCTCATATGGAGTCCACGCAAATACATCAAGGTTGCCGAGTAGGAAAGAAATTAGCTGCTGTCTGTCAGTTTGATTCAGCGAGGCGCCGACCATGAAGAACCTGTCTGGGTTTCCATTGATTTCAACTCGATCTAGGGCTTCCATGGCCTTTTCACTTGGGAGCCGCCCAACATCGTCGAGCCTCTCCCAATCCGTCACCTCAATAGAGTTCACTTGCAACTCCTTTAGAGTCTTTTTAGCAAGGAGATAACATGTTTGTGTCGATTTCTGGGAGCCACGGATTTGCTCAATGCCGCGTTCTGTCGAGAAGCGTAGCAGCTGATGATAGGTGCTTGGCACGGCCTGCATAGTATGCAACCAAGATTGCCCCATGATGAGATTATACGGCGATGACAGCTTGACGACCAAGAATTCCACATCCACTGTTCGGGAGCCCACTCGAACGGGTAGTGTGATCTTCCCCAACGGGTATTCTGGATTGGCGTTGAAGCCGAATAGTGGATAAGGAGCCGGAGAAAGATCCGATTCGGAGAAGCCGAGTTTGGTGAATGTCTTGTAATACATAACTTCCGATGTGCTCCCTGGGTCAATGAGTACGCGCTCAACGGTGAATCGGTTTACGCATAACTCGATTACCAAAAGATCAATGTGGGGAAGTGTCACTCCGGCCAAATCTGAATCATCAAAAGCAATGCTCCCAGTTTCATGGGGCCATTTAGCCGAAGCGAGTTGATTTTGAGGGTCGGGATTCGACTGAATCGTATGCACTACGGAAGACATTGGCAGGCTGTATAACATGTGGATCACGCCGAGTGGAGGTGAATCCTATCTTAAGGCTATTGCTTTGGTTGAGTTGCCTTTTCGAACGCACTGTTGTAGCCGACCATCTTGTACCAATTCCTTCAGGTGGTCCTTCAATGCATAACAACTCTCAGTATCATGGCCATGATCCTTGTGATACTCACACCGCCTATCCCGTCTTCGTATGTCGGGAGGTCCCACCATTTTTTACGGCCATTTGAAGAACGGAAGGTGTTGGATTTTGGACATAATCACGCTGATCGGCTCTGACAACTACGTATATTTCTTGTCGGCGCGCCTTGTGTGCCTGCTATCGACTTGCAGTTGTTCATTTGCTCGGTGGGAGCATTGGTCGCTTAATCGGCGAGAATCCCGTCTTTTGTCTCGTTTAGCCCGATGCCGTGGTTCAGGGCTTTGAGGTGGTATAGAATTTAACTGCTGAGCAATTTCAGAAAGAGCCGTCTTGTTGGCCACGTTTCTGGCTTTAACCCGCAAGGAGTCATCTTCCGCTTTACAGTATTCTTCAATTTTCTTCATCAACAACCAGATTGTTTTGGGGGGCTGTCTGGTCAAAGAGCTACGGAGGGCACTGTCAGGATGTAACCCCATCTTAAAGGCGGTAATGGCTATGGAGTCATTGCAAGCATCATCTACCAGATTAAAACACTCTCAATACCGCGCCGAATACGCACGAAGGGTTTCCCCTGGTTGAATCTGCATTGCCTAGAGGGAATCGGCTTGATTTGGTTGGACCTCATTAGTGATAAACCTTGCTCTGAAGGATTTTTAGAGTTGGTGGAAGCTCTTGATCGAAGTCGACTCCAGTTTATAATACCACCTGACAGCCAGTGGTCCCAAACTGCTTGAAAATATTCTGCACATGAGAGCCTCGTCATCTGCATGCAGCGTCATGGCTTGCTTGTAATGGCGGATGTGATCAGTGGGATTTGATTTACCGTCGTACAAGGTGAATGATGGTGCTTTGAATTTCTTGGGTAGCACTACCCTTGCAATCCGTCGTACAAAGGGATCGTGCTGGTCTTCTTCGTCTGAACTGTTTCTTCTTTGCTTATACCTTATACGTTGACTCTCTTTAGAGGAATTGGTAGCTTCGGGTTGTCCCTTCTTCTTGAGCTCCGAGGATAATAAGTCGGAGTCGTTATCAGTGTCTTGTTATCAGGCTTGAGGTCGTCGACCACCTGCCCTCAGAGGTCGTTCCGGATCTTGGCGTACAGCTTGTTTGGACTTCGCCACTTCCAAGGCCAAATCTTGACGGAGACGTTCGTTCTCAGCGATCATGTTTTCCAATCTCTGTTCGTTTTGCTTTGCTTGTTCCATGATCGCTTGCATTGTCTCATGTGCTGAAGTTGAGGGTGAGACGAAGTTCAAGGCATGTCTTGCGGCGATAGTCTCTGGTCCAAGCATGTTTGTTGGAGTGAGGTTGTCTCTCTGTGTGGTCTCATCAGTAACTATCGGAGGGTCTTCCGTTACGACCGCCATGGATATATTTGAGTATTCCCACAGATGGCGCCAATTGTAGGGAGGAGGTTTGGAAATACTCTTCTAATCCTGGGGGATGCTCGTGATCCTCAGCTAGTCACCTAAAAAGGAATGAACACTCCGGTTGGGGGTGCCGGAATTAGCACTCCGACAGACAAGTCAGTAGATACTCTCTTGATTGCTTGTATCTTAAGTTAAACATACTCATTCTCACATACCTTTCTCTGACTGATGATCCTGTATTTATATTATTTTCTTTGGGCCTTAAGGCGAGGCCCATCCTCGATCCTTTACATGTACTTCTACGCGGCATTTGTTCTACTGGCTAGAATGTCGATTATTTTATCCGGCTCTTCAATTGACTAGGATCAATGCCGAATAAAGGTTATGTCCCGGACTGGACTCGTCTATTTGTCTCTATTGACCCAATGAAATTCGACTCCCACAGTAATGATTGTCCAAATTGTAGTTGTTGCTGTTTCGAGATAAACAGGAAACTTTTGGCACTCCTTTAGCACAAAGAGCATGGAAACAATCAAATCCAGGTTTGATTTTCAAAATTACAAATTTACAATATATAAATACTTAAATAATTTTCTATCATATTTTGGCTTATGTCTAATGTAATATAATTTTGTGCAGCTGAGTGGTAGATTATTCATGGTAGTTGTGCTCCTGAACTTCAAAAAATAGCTGTGAAAGTATTAAGTCAAACCACCACATTATCTCACTGTGAACGTAATTGGAGTACTTTTAGTCTCATCCATACGAAGACGAGAAATAGATTGAAATATAAGAAAATCCAAAAATTAGTCTTCATCACTTACAACATGAGATTAAAATTAAGACACGTTAAAAGAAGCAACTAAGAGGAGATTGATAAGAGTTTTAATCCTATTAACTTGGATTACATATTTGAAGAAGATGATCCAATAAGTCTATGGATAGAAGAAAGGGAAAATCCTTTACTAGATGGTGTGGATAATTCTGAATGGCTAGATTTGGTCTCAGATGATAATAGTGGTGGTGGCGACGACAGCAATGGTGATGGCGGCAATGGTAGCGATGGAAACGATGATGGTGGCACCCATAGATATCAAGCTCGATGCACTTCTCAAAGCTCAACTCCTACTCCAACTCAAAGTGATAATAGTGGTGGTTTAACACCATCTGATGGAGGAGGTGATGATGGTGATGGTGAAGGCACTTCTCACGGTGACGGTGGTGGTGGTGGTGGTGGTGGCGACAATGGTGGTGATGGCGGTGATGGTACTAGTTTTGGTGCAGGAAGTGAAGATTTTATTGGAGGATTTGGATTATGTGATGTTGGGGAACATTATGATATTAGAGAACCTGTTGCACCTTTACCCCAACTACCTATTATTGTCTATACATTTTTTATGTAAATGAAAAGCTCAATCCTTTTTATTTTGTTGCCCTCATATGCAAGTTTTGCAAGTGAAATTTCCAACAAAAGCAGCTTAATCTTTTACACATTGACGCAGGTGTCCTTGTTTCATTTCTAAGGATTTTTACCAAGGCTGTATATCCCCAAGACACCAGTGGCCTGAGACAAAGTGCAATTCTCTATTTCATTGTCAGCATTGTTGTGATGATCATATGTGTTGTTTTCTACAATGTGGCACATAGGCTACCAGTTATTAAGTACTACAACGATTTGAAGACTCAAGCTAAAAATGAGCAAGAAGAGAACGGTGTCCTGACCGGGGCACTATGGAGATCAGCCTTGTTCAATATCGTCGGTAGAATCAAATGGTATGGGTTTGGAATCCTCATCATATACGTCGTAACTTTGTCAATATTTCCTGGTTATATCACCGAAGATGTCCATTCCCAGACGCTAAAAGACTGGTACCCAATCCTCCTCCTCACGAGCTACAACGTGTTTGATCTAGTTGGGAAGTCTCTAACCGCTCTCTATCTCCTCGGGAATGCAAGTGTTGCAATTGGTTCGTCGTTTGCAAGATTATTGTTTCTCCCTCTCTTTTGGGGTTGCTTGCACGGTCCTGAAATCTTCCGAACAGAGGTTCCGGTGACATTGCTGACATGTCTTTTGGGCCTCACAAATGGGTACTTGACTAGTGTCTTAATGATTTTGGCTCCCAAAACCGTCCAGCTGCTACATGCCGAGACTGCGGGGATCGTGATGGTTCTACTCTTGGTTGTTGGCCTGGCAATTGGTTCAATCGTGGCGTGGTTTTGGGTCATATGACGCCCTAGCAGTTTCACAATATCCACATAAATCTGGAATGGCCCTTCTGTTGACCTACTGTTTTTCTCATTGTGTAAAAGTCTGTAATCCTTGTGTTGGTAATTCGATCCTCTACTTCCATACTGAAGCAAAGGGTTGTGAAGCTATTAAGCAACTTGAAAATTGTACATTAGTAGCTATCATGTGGGAAAATACCTCTTTCTATTCTTTTTCTTTTTCTTTTTCTTTTTTTTACCTAAAGAAACAGGCCATTAGATTGACTTATCTGTGTGGGAATGTGCAATCAAACTTTGAGGATTCAAAAGATAGATTTGTTATTTGACATAACTTATTGTCAATGTTTGATCATTACAACAAGAATATCACTTACAGTTAATATCACTACCCAAAGGCTTGGCGTTAATGTTGTGCTAGGTATCTTGAGATGTTGTTATTAAATTAATTTATTTAGAGATTATCTGTTTGGTAACTTAATGTGAAGATGAGGTAATTGTTCTTGAGGAACAAACTCTACAACCTCAACCTTAAGCATCTGTGCCATTAAGGCGATCCACTAGAGAAAGGAGATTTGCATTTTCAGAGATGATTATATTGTATATCTCCAGGAATATGAGGTAGAAAATGGAATGTCGAAAGATGATCCAATCAACTTTCGTCAAGCCATGGAAAGTTCCAACTCTGATAAGTGGATAGAAGCCATTAATGAAGAATATAAGTCTATGCAAGACAATAAAGTTTGGGAACTTGTCTCATTACCAGTTGGTGCGAAGCCCGTAGGTTGTAAATGGATATTTAAAACCAAAAGGGATTCAAATGGTAATGTGGAGAGGTAGTGCAGAGTGGACAGATTTTCATAGAGCACATTGGGGCAAACTCCATGATAGCGGATCCACTTACGAAGTGACTACCACCCAAGGTCTTTCATGAGCACACTGCTCAGATGGGTGTTGTTCTATTTGAGAACATTCTGGTTTAGTGGGAGTTTGTATTTATATTACTGCTTTATGTCAGCCTTGAGTTTTATCTATGTAATTAGATTAATTTCTGCAGAAATGAAATATTCTGTTTATTACGCTCTGTTACGTATTGTGAAGTATTGATCTCAATAAAGTTAAGTAGGACCAGTTGGAAATAGGCATGTATGGATCACATCACATGTAATTTCCATGCTACGTATCCATGATTGATCTATGTCATTTAGCTGTATTAGTATATGTGACCATTGGTGGGTCGAGTTACGATTGATGTAACGAAGACCGCTTTGATCCTATATTAATATAGTTAATGGACAAGATTGTTTGGATACCCTCAAGTTATGATAACAAATTTCTGAGCTCACTAAAGTTAAGCACATTTTTCAGGATACATATGTGGTCCAGTGGGAGTTTGTTAGATAATGTCTCAATGGGACCATATAATTAAATGTGGTGTTATCATTTATAAGAAGCCTACCATTTAAGTGATTCAATTTAGTTAATAGGCTTAAGGGTATATGTGTTATGGCCCTAATGTGTAGATACTAGTTGTATAATTTCTATTTCTATGAGGGGCAGAAATAGAAATTAAAACATATTGGTTAAAGTTGGTTTTCATTACCTTTCAGTTTTAAACCAATAATGGTTAATTTATTGGTTTTCATTACCTTTCAGTTTTAAAACCAATAATGGTTAATTTATTGGTTTTCATTACCTTTCAGTTTTGAAAATCAATTACAACCTTTAAAAGGTTATGGTCCCTATTCCTTCCCAAGTGAAAATAAGAACACTGTTTGTTTTTCTAAATCCTCTTAAGGAGAAACATAAGGCACCAAAAGGGAAAGGATTAGAAGGCTCTAACAAAGTTAATATCAAAGGTTTTATTGACAATCAGACGCTTCCGTTTAACCGTTCATCGATGGATTCAGGTATGTCATTTTGTCTTGATTTCTTAATAATATACATGATAAATGATTCAAAGTGTAAGATTTATGTACTGAAATTTATGTTAACAAGAAAGTGACCTTTTTTCATGCATGGCCTTCTGGTCCTTTCAGTTTGGGGTCCCACAAAATGGTTACGGGTTATATCATGACTCATGTGGGTGGAGTGCGTTGAATTTGTAATTGATTTCTATGATTTTAAATCTTTTCGTAACAATAACACTACATGTCATTAAAAATATTTATAAAAGATATATGGGCTACATTCTGGGTTAATATAAAACTTAACGTGATTCAAAAATATATTAAATTTTAACTTGTTTATATAATGAAATAATCTCAAATGATTTATTAACGAGGCAAGTTAATATTGAGTAACTTAATTTATTTTTACGGTTCTATGTAGTAGAAATATTTTTGTAATTAAATATCATTTAACGATCCACTTTGTTTTAAAATGATGACTCTCCCAATATAATCACATCATATATAAATTTTTTAAGTAACCATGCATAAATTCATACAATTTTTTTTTTTTTTTTTTATTTCAATGTGGACTTTTTGCAAATTTTTTTATATGAATAGAAAATTTGAAATTTCAGATAAGTTTTTCTACTTGTACATCTTTTTATACTTGTAACTGTTGCTTCGTGTATAAATAAAACATGGGTTGATGTGGCTGATTTTCGATCTTTCACTTTTGTTTTTTTTATTTTTTATTTTTAGTATGAATTTCCTATATAAAACATGGATGGCTTCAGCTTTCTCATTGAGATATGAGGAATATTTGCAGCCTGAAAACAACAATGGCAATGCATTATGTTTTCATTTTCTATCTCTTTTCTCTTCTTCCCCCTATGGTTCTTTGCAGTCAATATTCAATATTCAGTATAATCCAACTTCCTCCTAATGCAACGGGCCCTGAGTCCGTCGGCTTCAACTCCCCCGTTAGCGGTCCCTACGTCGGAGTCGCAGATGGTAGAGTTCTCAAGCGGCAGGATCCCATCCTTCGTTTTGTTGATTTTGCTGTCACTTCCTCAAATAGGTAATTTTTTGAGGCCTTATTGATCAACCATTCTTGTGGGAGTGTTTGGTAGCTAAATAGCATATGTTTGTCAACAACATCACAAATTCAAACTAATGAATTCATAATTTATTAAGAAATTAATAATTCAAATTTGTTTTATTCATGCCTATATTTCATCAATTTAACTTCCACTAAATAAACATATTCGGGATAAATTATGGTTTAATAAGATTGGGTTCATAGCATTTTTGTATGTTTCTTGTGATGGTATGGTCACTTGTGTATTTATGTAAAATATGAACAGATCGAATAATTAAAATGGGACTCGTGTTAAGTCTTATAAGTCCGGACAATACCATTCAGTCTATTAATGGACTAGACACAACTCTATCCCACATTCAAATATCATCAAAGATAAAAAGGATGACATCATTGTTTTTGGAAAAATGGTAGAAGAAACAATGAATTAAGTTTATATCAACTTTATATAGATGTAAGAGTTAATTTCATTTTTAATTTTTAAAGTAAACAATTTGTTTTATTTTGATCTTCAATATTAAATTAGTTCTATAGTTGACACTATCAGTACTCATCATTAAAATTATTTTTGGAGTAAAATATATATATATATATACCTTAGAAAAAAAAAAGAACAGAAAAAAAGAAGGTTAATTATAATTTTGGTCATTATAATATGTGTTTTGGGTCATTTTTATCCTAACATTTCATTAAATGTCAATTTGTAAAGTTTTTTATTTGTTTGTTTCGTGGAGCTATAAGCTCTAATTCTTTCAATAAAGACTGATAGTGTCCACTATGGGGTTAAGGATGAAATTGATACAATAATATTAAAAATTAAAATGTCACAAAACATAGAGCTTAGGGATAAAAAATGTAATAACATAATAAAGAAGTTTGGACATTTATAAATAAATACAATAATGAATGTATAGTCCATTTTTTAATTGTTGTTTTTCAGGACAAAGCAACTATGTGATGGGACAACAGACCCAGATATGGGACCTATATGTGGGAGGCCTCTGGGCTTTAGCTTCGACTCTGCAAATGGCAAACTCTACATTGTTGATGCTTATTTTGGGCTCTTAGTTGTTGGGCCTAATGGTGGGCTTGCAACCCAACTAGCAACTTCTGCGGAAGGTGTGCCTTTCAAATTCCTTGATGGTGTGGATGTTCACCAATTCACTGGACTTGTTTACTTCTCAGATGCTAGCTAAGGTACAATCACATTCCTAAATTGTTATTATTATTATTATTATTTTAAATAAATTTGTAGAAGAATGTTTGTAATTATGAAGAAAAGCATACAAAACTGAACAATGAAGGGACCATCATAAGAACAATAAAAATTTAAAGAAAGATTCTGTAATAGGAAAAAATAAATAAATCAATCAATCTTTATCTTTGACAATGGTTGATCACTGGAGCTCTCAATTGAAAGTATACAAGAGTGGCTAATTGAGTTAACCTAATTGGTTTGGCTTTTATATGCTCTTCAACCAGTCAAATATGAATAATTAATCACAAATCTTGAAGCACTATGTGGTATTGCGTATATAATGCTTTAAACTAATCAGATAGTAGAAAATTTTATGAATGGAATATGTTGATTCACATTTTTTAAGTAGTTACGAGGCAACAGATAACTTACTTGTTATGTGTTGTTGTTTTTGGTTAGCTAAGAGTCCCACGTAAATAATACAACATAATACTTTACAAGTATCTAATAATTTTCCATCAAGAACAAATAGAAATATTGTTTAAAAAAAAAGACAAAAACAAAAACAAAAACAAAAACAAAAACAAAATTACTCAAAAGAAGTGCTTTGATTTTTAATTCATAATATAAATTTAATTTGGTGTTGGCCATATGTAAAATCAATCTGAGTCAAAAAATGACAACAATGCACAAGATTTTCGCTAAGCAAAATCTAAAAATGGCAAGATATAAATAATTTTACCTTCATTTCCGCACTACCAGAGATACTAACAGCAAACCTTTACAATTGGTTAATGATGCTTTTGAGAATGAATCTAACCTAATTTACACATTTCAGTTTTTTAATAATTTTTTTACTACAGCAAACTAATTGAGTGTACTAAAAGGAGTGCAGGAACATTTCCCAGCCAAATTTTAAACCAGACTCAACAAGAAGGCTGCTAACATATGACCCCAAGACAAACCAAGTCAAGGTGCTGCTAAGAGGGCTCTATGGCGCCGGTGGACCGGCTGTCAGTGTCGACAGTTCATTCGTCTTGGTTGGCGAGTATGTCAACAAGAGTATTCAAAAGTATTGGCTCACAGGTGACAAAGCCAACACTGCTGAGATTTTCTGAGCCCTCCCTGGAAATCCAAGCAAAATCAAGAAGAACATTTTTGGAGAATTTTGGGTGGCAGTGGACATCACAAATCAGCAGCCAACACGACTGACAACTCCGGTGGGGATAAGGTTCGACGATTCTGGCAAGGTAATGCAACAGGTGAATTTCACCGCTCTGTATAACAACTTGTCGATCAGTGTTGTTCAAGAACAAAATTCAGCGTTATATATAGGTTGTCGATTTGTAAATTTTGTTGGTGTCTTTACATGAACTAAGAGTTTGGCGATAAATCTAAATCCTAAACTCTAAACTGAAATAATGTTATTAGCAACTACCGTGGAATAATTGTACTGACATGTTTAGTCAGAAGCTTTGTACTTTAGTTGCATTTTGACTAGTTTGGTTAGTGCATCTAACAACTTAGTGGAAATGTGTCTTTCTGCTTTGATGCTATGAATTCTCATGTGTACTTTCAGTTTACATCAATAAAACTTTCTCGTGTAAACTACACTGTATAATCTTTATATATTGGTTATTATAATTTTAATCAGCTTGAATCTAGTTTTGAATTTATGAGTTTGTCTCAATTTAATCCAATTAATTACATTTACTAACATTTTTTTAATGAAAACTATGCACATGAGTGGCATGTGTCGTGTTTTTAAGAACAAAATTGAAAACTTGGTAAACTCAATGAATTAATCTCAACCATTTGAATAATAATTTTTTTGTCAAAAGCCCTAACAATATTATCAATTGAATCAAATTAACACAAAATTTAAAATTAAGGATTAATAATGTGCCAATTGAAAGCGTAGTGACTAAAATAATAAAGACTATCAGGGTAAATTATCCAATTTTATTTTATGCATAAAGCAAATAAATAAATATTAAAAAAAAAACCTTATATTTTTCTTCTTGGTTATGGTAAGATTGGTTCGATTGACTATGATCCTGTAGTTTTTTCATTTGTATTTTTCAAGTCAAAATTGCAAACATGTTATTATGTTTGATTGCTTTACTTTTAGTTTCATGATTTATAATTTTGTAGTAAATTAATCAAATCTAATCAAACATTAGTCAATAATGAAATTAATAAGATTATACACTAATAATTTAATGTGAAATCTTCTTATATGCCGTATAAGAATACTTATGCAATATAAAAAATTAATAGAAGAAATTTTCAAACATTTAAAAATTATTAAAATTATTTATAACATATGAGATTAATTGATAATTTCAAAAAGTTTAGAGATGGTCATGGCCACCCCTAACTTCATCCCTATCTAGTTGTGATTAGGGGTGATGAGTGGTGGAAAGGAGGTGACTAAAGGGAGATTAGGAATTAAAGTCAGGATTGCAGAAGACGGAAATGATTAAAGTTAGAATTTTGATTTCGACATAATTTTTTTCACTTCAATTCGCAAATTAGGCGTGTGTGTCACAAATTTGATTATCTTAGACCAAATTAGTGATAATAAACAAATAAAATACATAATGTTCAAATCTAAAAACAAAATACATAATGTTCAAAACCAAATAATCGCTTTGTATTTTTAAAGATGAAGGGAAAAATATTCCAAGATTATATGTAAAAAGAAATTTGTCCTTTTTTAAAATAAAATAAAATAAATTGTGGAAAAATATTCCAAGATTATACGTAAAAAGAAATTTGTCCTTTTTTAAAATAAAATAAAATAAAAATTGTAGTGCTAACTGATACTTTAAAAAAAAAAAAAATTGTAGCATAACCTGTCGGATATGCTCACAGGGTATCCCACCCTTATAATCCGAATAAATATTAAACGTAACGGCGATACCATATGACGATATTACCGTCTAATGAATAATTTCACTTTGCAATTTAGAGACCACAATATTGTGGTTTCAATTTTTTAGGTTGTGCTTAATAATGGATTTGGGTAGGGGTTTCGGAAAGCAAACTACAACGAATTAAAATTTTGGAGATAAAAATTTAGGGACAATGTCTTTTATTGCTAAAGTGACATTATTATATTTTTAACGACGGATACTTTGGACATTAGTGATGAATTATTATCTTTTTGGGTGCAAAATGTTTGTCTCAAAAATAATTTTTTTTGGATCAAATTATTTTGTCCCTAAAAATGTATTTATTAGGGACATTTTCAAAATTTTGTCACTAAAAGTGCATTTACTTTTCTAACGATATTTTAGAGACTTTCCTCCAGACAACAAGAATTAGTTTTCAATTTTTTTTGTAAATTTTTTTTTTTATTTTTAGGAATAAAAAAAATTAATCCCTAAAACTCTTATATGTCGTAATGAAAAAAAAGAAAAAAAGAAAAAAAAGAGGAAAATATGAACGACATATATAAGCTAAAAATTTTATCTAGTTTTCCAAATTTTTTTTAAAAAAAATTTAAATCTCTATTCAAATGTATGATACAAATACAACATTATTGATCGGTGATATCGTGACACCATTATTCATAATATTCGTTCTTATAACCCTATATCAAGTGCTCAAAACATGTAACTTTTGGAGACTTTTATAACGGGATCTCTGCACAAGTCTAGGGCTTTTTTTTTCTACAAAGGCACGTGGTGTTTAAATAGTTTATTGGTTATACGTCTAATGTATGGTGGAGATCTTCTAGCCCAAAAACAAAAAATTTAATTGTATGGAGGAGATTTGGACAATGAGCACATGGGTAAGTTGTGTGGAGAGTCAAAGATAAGGAGGAAGCAAACAAGGGAATGATGATGGCAATGAAAGGTTTGATGAGAAAGGTTGTTGAATTTCAAGTATGACAAATCCTTTTATAAACAAGTTATGTCAGTAGGTTTTTTCCTTTTTTTTCTTTATTTATTTACTAGCGTATGTCCGTGCCTGAAGGCACGACGTAAATAACATTCGGTGTAAATAATGTTAGGATTAAAATATAGTTATAATTTCTACGTATAATGTCAATTAATTAATTAATTTAATGCATCCTCAACATTTAATTAATCACGGGAAACATGAATATATTAGAAACATTGTATGCTGCCACCACACATAAGCCAATTTTGTTTGAATAATTTTAGGTATTATTAAAATTTAGGAAAAATTACTCAAAAAAAAAAAAACCTAGAATTTAATACTTGTAACAAAATAAACTATTGAGTTTTCAATTTTATAAATTTAAATATTAAATTTTTGATTTATTTTCAATTTAAACTATTTTCATGTTTTCAATCTAAACAATCTGAGATCTTTTACGTATTTTACTAAATAATAAATAATAAATAAATACCATTAACAATCCAAGCAATTTGTCAGTAGAAAGAAGTAGCCATCAGTCCTTTGCGGGGTCTATCTTTCACATATTTTTTTGCATTCCTACGGAAAAAAAAAATAATATATCAACACATTTTGCATTCCTATTGAAAAAAATAATAATATATCAACACAATGTGAATAGCACATAAAATAAATAAAGATGTGATAGTGGCCAAGCATTTGAATGCGCAGCACAATTAAGAAAACCAACCACTATCTCTTTCCTTACTCTGTTTCTTTTCAAGTTCTTCACCACGTCTTCAACAGGGATGAAGAAATAGTCCATGAATTATGAGTGAAAATTTAAATTGGGTTATAGAAATAAAATAAAATAAAACAAAAATAATAACCTGTGAGAGACATGCGGGTTGAAGAAAAAAAAATAAAAAATAAAATGTTGAGACCCAAACCAATGTCAACAGCCCCACAAACCAATGTCAAGACCCTCGCCTGACAATACAAAAAAGAAAAACAAATACATATCAGTTTAAGATTTAGAAACACCAAGCCAAATACATAACATAACTTCACACCAACCCATATAAATTGAAAACTGCATAAATAAAAAAATTAAAAGAAATAGAACACAAAAAAAGAAAAAGAAACCCAAATACATATCAGTTTAAGGTTTAGAAACACAAATCCAACACAAACACATCAGTTTGAGATTTAGAAAAACAAATACAAATCCAAATCCAAATCTTAGAAACACAAACCCAAATTGATGGGTCTCTTTTGCTTTGATTGAAAAGAAACAGAATGATTTTCAATGCTCTGTTCCAATGCTTTGTGTCTCTTAAGCTTTGTTTCCAACTTTTTCTGTGATTCTATTGAATGCATACCTAATCACACAAACCCAAACAAAAATCTTAGAAACATAAATATTAGAAACACAAACACAAATCGAAACCGAAATCTTAAAAACACAACCTAATCAACAAAAATAAATAATAAAAAAAAAAAAAACACAAATCCAACACAACGAAACATTGAAAACTATTTGAAAAATCACTTAAGAATATCTTAAAAACCATTTGATAACCATTTTCTGAGGATCAATTATTATTTCAAACCCAAGGATCAGCTTGTATACCATACTACAAAATGAGTCCAAAAAAAATTAAAAAACTGCTCTTTCAACCCACCTAAATATTTCGATAAACTTGCTCTATTTCGATAAACTTCACATCTCCTTTCATTCTTACCTTCGTAACACAATCACAAAGTTGCTCACCAGTTTGGAAACACAAACACCAATCCAAATCATACCCAAACACGTACCTAATCCTATTATGTGACCAAAAATAAAAAATAAAAACTAAACACCATATCCAAACTTCACCTAATGATGTAAAAGTTTTTTTTTTAAAGTTGTAGAACATGGTATTCATAATACGAATTTAATACGAAATGGACTTGATGTCCAGCAACCTAACTTCCTTTATTGCTCTAAAAAATAAAAGAAAGCCCAAAGTAATTGTTGCTCTAAACTGATAGCAACTGATATGGGTTTCTATATTTATTTCTATATGTTTTTCGATATTATGTTGGTAATGAACTGTACACCATTTCTTACTCGTTCTTCTCAATTCCCAACCACTCTCCTCCCTTACCTAACTACTATACATATCTTACATTATCTCTCTGAATTGCTCAACATTCTCTCTCTCTCTCATACCCTTCTATGGGATGTTTTTGGAAAAATGGTAAAAAATAATTTTTTTTTACGTTTAATTAAGTTTTTGACTTTTTTAAACAAATGATTTGAGAAGTTGATAAAAAGTTACTTTTGACTTTTTTTATTAATATTTATTTATTATATCAAATCACAATGAAACGACCAAACTATCCACATTTAATTTAAAATATTTACAACTTCACCTATGTAACATATTTTGATCCATGAGAGGTAGAATTGTAATTTCACCAATTATTAAAAACCAACTTTTCAAATGTCTTTAAATACAAAAAAGCTAACTTTTGGCTTTTAAAAACTCAAAAAAGTGGCTAAAAACCATATACCCAAAAGAGGCCTATGTCTCTGAAACCAAAACAAAAAACAAACACTACCACCACATAGACAAAAGTTTGTTCTGTTTCTCATTCTTCTCATTTCAGGTAATTTAATCTTCTCTCTCTCTATATATATATATCTTCTGTTTTTTTTAGATTCATTCTACATGTCTACTTCAAGTTCTTCTTTTTCTTCTTTTATTTTGGATTTTAGGAACCCTTCCAAGCATATAGCTCAAGAATTAGTATAGTTAATTAGGAACCCTTCAAAGCATATAGCTCAAGAATTAAATATTTTAGCTTAATGGATTTGTTGATGTGCAATCTCAATATTTTAGAATTAAATATTATAGCTCAAGATTATTAGAGGGATCATTAAATATCCCATATCAGAAGCAAATGATTACAGCAAGAGAGGAGAGATCAACTATACATACCAGTTTTTGTATGACAGATAACAACTATCACAATCAAAATCCTAACCTGTAAGTGAACTGAATTTTATATTTCATAAAGCTCCTTTCCAAAATGCACTTGCAAGTAATGAAAAAATAAATAAATAAAATTAAAAATTAAAAATAAAATAAAATAAAAAATGAAATAAAAGGACATGGATGATTACAACAAGAGAGGAGCGATCAACCATACATATCAGTTTTTGTATGACAGAGAACAACTTTCACAATCAAAGTCCTCACCTGTAAGTGAACTGAATTTTATATTTCATGAAGCTCCTTTCTAAAATGCACTTGCAAGTAATGAAAAAAATAAATAAATAAATAAAATTAAAAATTAAATGAAATAAAATAAAATAAAAAATGAAATAAAAGGGCATTGTTAAGTGATGGTCCCAAATTCTACTTAATCGAGTGTGCTACTGGATATAGATCTAATGTCAAGACTCATGCCTCAACACAAAAAAGAAAAACAAATACATATCAGTTTAAGGTTTAGAAACACCAATCCAAATAAATTGAAAGCTACATAAATAAAAAATGAAAAAGAAACATAACAAAGAGAAGACTGTGAAGATCATCAAACCTGCATGAGCTTTGAAGCAAAATTCAAAAACTCAGAACTAAATTACTCAATAATTCCCTCAATTACTCAATTACTCTCCGGAATGTTTAACGAAATATAAAAACCCATCTCACAATTTGAACACACACATACTCTATACTAACTATTAATAAAAAAAAATTAGCTTATACAAAATATGTTATTAATCAATCAATAAAAACAAATAATCAAAAAGAGAAACAACCTCGCGAGAAGCTCAAAATGGTGATTTCCAAGAAGTTAGGTAAAAATGGTGCTATTAATAAATCACTACTAAACAATTCTCAAAATGGTGTTATTAATAAATCACTACTAAACAATTCTCAAAATGGTGATTTCCAAGAATGGTGATTTCCATTGATTTTCAAGAAGTTACGTGTAGTAAAATAAAGAAACTGAAATTCTATCATGTCTTTAAAATGGGAGACGCTGGTGTGTTGTTGGATATCATGGAGCCCATCATAAGTCATGTATTTGATAGTTGAACTATTTATTTTATTAGGTTTATTTATAGATTATTCACACAAAAAAATCAAATTAATTTGATAATCATAACTTTGATCTGATTTTTCTTTTTTCTTTTTTTTTTTTGAATGATCAATACATAAATCGGCAAAATGGATGTAGTTCACGTAAAATATTGTAAATACTTCTCACACTGAAAATGCTTAACACTATCATGTTTAAAATCTATGAAAATGAGAAAAGGGAAGTGGCAGAGGCAAACTTCAAATCTATACAATATAGTATAAAGGAAAAGTTAAGAAAATGACCCGACAGAAACGTTAAAGTCCTTGAACTTCTTTCTTGAAGTAAAACTTATTAGTATGTAAGCCATTCCTCTCCCATAATCAAATAAAGAAACTGAAATTCTATCATGTTTTTAAAATGGGAGACGCTGGTGTGTTGTTGGATATCATGGAGCCCATCATAAGTCATGTATTTGATGTTTGAACTATTTATTTTATTAGGTTTATTTATAGATTATTCACACAAAAAAATCAAATTAATTAGATAATCATAACTATGATCTGATTTTTCTTTTTTCTTTTTTCATTTTTTTTTTGAATGATCAATACATAAATCGGCAAAATGGATGCAGTTCACCTAAAATATTGTAAATACTTCTCACACTGAAAATGCTTAACACTATCATGTTTAAAATCTATGAAAATGAGAAAAGGGAAGTGGCAGAGGCAAACTTCAATTATTAGAATATAGTATAAAGGAAAAGTTAAGAAAACAACCCGACAGAAACGTTAAAGTTTCTGAACTTCTTTCTTGAAGTAAAACTTATTAGTATATATGCTATTCCTCTCCCATCCCACCACCACCCCCCTCTGTCTGAGTTTGTGTTGGTCGATGAAAGGTTAACGAAAAACTAAACCACCATCAACAATGAACAAAACATGTAGTCAACACTGCAAACTCCGTGGCAAATAAACTAGCAATAATTTTTTTTTGGTTTAATTTCGGTTAGATGAGAAAAAGAAAAACAAAGCAACTACTGTAGACCCAACTGGATCGCAAAAACAAAACAGAATAAAAATACAAAAACATTAGTCAATAGTACTGTGTCCAAAATGACAAAGCAAGAAACCCACTGCTCTTCCTCTTCTCCTAATCTATGATTATGTACATATACAATTCTCAAGCAACCAGTAAAGAACTCAAACTGTTACTCACTCTAAATTAAATAACGCCAATTTATCATTCTCGGTGGATAGATGTTGACACCATAATAGGAAGATGATTGCATCATTGAATTTCATTCAGTCCATCAGCACAGAAGATCGTAGCAAAATTAACATAGAACTAAAGAAATATTTATCAAGCTTAAGAAAACAAAGCCAAAAAATAAAAATAAAAACATTGTCATAGAACTGATAAATCTGATCACCATGGAAATTCATCAAATGGCTTGTCAAAACATAATAAAATATAATAATGTTGGGTATTTTTGTAATCGATTAGAACTGTTCTAATCTATCTCCAGCAATATAATTGTGATGAAATACCGTACCTTCATAAAATTGTCTTCAATCCACAATTTAGAACAATTTACAAAAATACGCTAGAACAGTTCAAATCGATTAGAACAGTTCGAATGAGTAATCCAATATATGAATACAACATAAAATTTGAACAAAAATAAAAAATAAAAATAATAGAAGTTAGAATCAAACCCAAATTAGAATGGAAAAAAAATATCAAACTCAAATGCACCAATCAAACCCAAGAATGTTATTAACAACCCTAAAAATGTATATATTCATGAAATGAAGGAGAAGAACAGAGAGAGAAGGGCAAAAAATATCATACCCAAATCATACCGATTTGACAATTCACATGCGGCAGATCTTCTTTGAGGATGAAGCGGTCGTAGTCGACACCTCAGGCGTCGTGAGAAGCACGGGTGATGAAGGATTGGATGAAACCAATGCCGAAAAAACCGAGGAGGTAGATTCAGGAAGCGATGAGGGAGGCGATGGCAGTGAGTTGGGAGAGAGTGACGACGTGGAGAGGGGTGGAGGATCGGATCCGATCGCGCTAACAATGGAGGAGGTAGTAAGTCATAGAGAAGAAAAGTGTGAAGAAAATGCCGTTGGTCAGAAAAGTGTGAGAGGTAAGCCATTAGAGGGCTTTGGGATGAGGAGGAGAATGAGAGAGAATGCGTAGAGCAGATGGGTTTGGGCAAAGAGTTGTTTGGGCGGGAGATCTATTGGAGATCTATTGATCTGAACCATTGGTATATATTTAGGATTAATCTCAGCCATTAAATTAAAATGTATCTCACATACATTTTCTACATTTTCAAATTCCTTCCTCCCTTATTATATAGATTTCGTCCCTTGTATTGAGTTGGTTCATATAATTTTATGGGCCATGCTACAGACTTCCAGTGGGATGACCTCCACTGACAATCCCAGTGAGGTGTCACCCCTCCATTGGCTAAAAATAAAATAAAAAAAAAAAAAAAATGAAAACAAAAAAAAAAAAAAAAAACAATTTTTGGACTAATGAAAAACGACCCCCAGTGACCCCCAACTGGGAGTGTTAGGCATTTTTCTAATTTTATTTTTATAATTTTATTTTTAATTTTATTTTTTTTTTTTGCCCTTTTGTCTGAGGTGGTTCAATCATTATCACTTAAGCTGTCGTCTAAGATCCAAACAAAAATATCAAAAAATTCTTATTGTTTAAACTTTCAACTTTTCAAAAGCTTATTAATTAATTAAATAAAATCTCATTTCGATATTTGGTCAGAAATCTTCAAAAATTTTGGGCCCCTGTTGATTAGATACAAGAAAAATTGAATTCCCCTTTGGAAATTGTACTAAAATTAAGAGAAAATTATTTATAAGTCTCATTAGGAGAACTTATTTAATGTGAAATCTTATGTAATTTTTTATAGAGTTTTAAGTCCTATTTAGATAAGAATATGTTTCACAAAATCTTATGAGTTATAAATAAATGATATTAACATACTATTATACCTTATAATGGCAAAACCACATATAGGAACTTAAATGTTATCATAGATCATATTTATATGAATGTAAATTTGAATTTCAAAATATACGAACAAATAACATTTTCATATTCAATTTAAAAAATAAAAAACCTAGTAAGTTTACGAAATGTGACGTGACACGTACGTAAATATTGAATACAACAATGTCACAACATAAATTTAAAGAAAAAATACAACCGAACATAACACGCACACAACATGACAACATTACAGATGTGGGTTAACATTATAACCCAAATGTAACGTCATTGGAGGCTAATAAAAGTGTGTCAATGTATGGATATACCATTTTACAATGCAAATGTGTTTTTTTGCATCTGAAAGTCGCATTTGATATGGTCATGTTACGTTACGTTTATGAAGGTGTCACGTTACGGTTCGCAAACTTAATACGTCTTTAATTTTTTTAATTAAATGTGAAAATATTGCTGGTTTATGAAAAATGGTACATCCATACATTGGCACATTTTCATTAGCCTCCAATGACGTTACATTTAGGTTCTAATGTTAACCCACATCTGCAATGTTGTCATGTTTTGTACGTGTTACGTTCGGTTGTATTTGTCTTTGAATTTGTGTTGTGCCGTTGTTGTATTAAGTGTTTATATACATGTCACGTTACGCTTCACAAACTTAATGGGGTTTTAATTTTTTTAATACAATGTAAAAATGTTGATGGTTTATGAAAAATGGTACATCCATACATGGACATACTTTCATTAGCCTTCAATGGCGTTATATTTAGGTTGTAATGTTAACCCATATTTGTAATGTTGTTATGTTTTGTGCGTATTACGTTCGGTTGTATTTTTTCTTTGAATTTGCGTTGTGACATTGTTGTATTCAATAATTACAAACATGTCATGTTGCGTTTCGCAAACTTACTAGGTTTTTAGTTTTTTAAATTGAATGTAAAAATATTGCTTGTTCGTTTATTTTGAAATTCAATTTCACATTCATATAGATATAATCTATGGTAATATTCAATTTTTTATATATGATTTTGCCATTATTTATGATATTAACAACTAATAGGATAAATGTGTATTTTGAAATTCAAATTCACATTCATATAGATATGATCCATGGTAACATTCAATTTCTTATATATGGTTTTGCCATTATTTATGATATTAACAATTAATATTGAGGGTAAATGTGTCAACAAACTTCCTACAGGATTTATAGGAACATAAGTTTTTTAGTAAGACCATAGATAGTGCTCTATTGGAAACCTAGTAAAAAGCGAGCTTCCAACTTTTACCAATTTTGGGTTATATCACCTCTCACATAACTTACTTACAAAAAGACAAAATAAGTTTAAAAAGTCAAAAGTCAACTTTTTACTAACTTTTTAAAATATAAGTCTTCCTAATAGGCCTTATAAATAATTTTTTCTAAAATTAATAGGCAAAAGAATTCATTTGGATTGACGTCCAAATTGAC